TTAAGGTTGTGAATCAATATATGTAAAGTCCTTAGAAAAGTGCCTGGCACTTAATAAAGCACACCATAAATGTCATCTACTCTATTTACATAATTATTTTTATGGCAAAAAAAGCATCTCATCTTAGACAACTCACTATAAATCATAATATTAAAATTTCAGCTGAAACCGGTTTGACTCAGTGGATAGAGCATCGGCCTGCGGACTGAAAGGTCCTGGGTTCGATTCCGGTCAAGGGCATGTACGTTGGTTGTGGGCGCATCCCCAGTAGGGGGTGTGCAAGAGGCAGCTGGTCTATGATACTCTCTCATCGATGTTTCTACCTCTCTCTTCCTCTCTGTAAAAAAATCAATAAAATATATTTTTTTAAAATTCAATTTACTTTATCAATGAAGTAAAACATTTAGGAAAGTCTGGCTTATATCTTATTAAGCAACCTCAGTGTTTATGCTATATTTTTCCAACTCTGACTCACTATTAGTTCCTCCCCTGACTCACCACATAGACAGGTAGGTAGACAGTCTGGAATATAATGGGCATTCCAAATGGCATTTCTTAATCTACCTGGATTTATAAAGTTTACTAAGTGGAACTTGTCCAATATAATGTTCAACAAATATGAATAATTACTTACATTTTGCTCATTTAAAAATCTCCTTTAAACTATGGAGGTGTTAAAACCCCACCTTGACAGAACAACATATCACTCAAGTAAAATCAAAGATCCACACTTTCTGATTGCTAGCCAAAAACAGCATCAAATTTTGCTGATGGCCTGGCAAATTTTTACCAAGCAAACTATAGATTAGAGGCCCAAAAGCAATCTCTGAGCCTACAAATTTGACCTTAAGTTCTATTCAATTCCATACTTTTCACTGTTTTCCCCATTTAGATGTTTAAATTATTTAAGATAACTCTAATAAAAAGTTATTTTAAAAAATCCAGGGAAACAAGGTAAATAATGAAAGGCAGGTTAATTCTTTAAAACTCCCCTCCTCTAGACACACACACACACACACACACACACACACACACACACACACTTTTAAAATATTCCTCTATGTGATCAAGAGTCATTTTAAACTCTCTAAGCATCCATTTTACTTCCTCTGGAAATGGGAAAAGAGTAAATAAACTACCACATTGGATTGCTGTGAGCATTAAGACAACACATAAAGTACTTTAGCCAACTCCTATGAAATCCATGTTCCAATATATGTTACCTTTTCTATTTAAATAAAAACCTTAGCGTCAGTTGAGTTCTACCTATTAGAGTTTATTTTCTACGGCAATCATCTGTTAACCCATTCATGCAACCTACTCAACAGCAATAACAAGCACTCTGAAAGCAGGGGTATATAACTATCTAGGAAATCTTCCTCAAACATATCCTTCCTCATTGAGTTATGTTCCCCGCTCAGGAAACAGGCTGTACTTTAACACTGTATTTACCATTACTGCCTTTATTACTTGGGAGTCCCTTGTGGATAAGACCTGTGTCCTATTCATTTCTGAATCCCGGACTGCAGCCCAATAGTTCTTAACCTTGACTCACATTAGAATCACATGGGAAGCTTATCAAAATATTATTGCCTGGGATCCATCCCAAACCCACTAAATCATGAGGGGGTCAGGGAGGAAGAGGGCAAAAGTAATCAGCACAAGAACATATTTTGTAAAGATCCTCACATGATAATAATGTGCTGCCACAGTAAGTACCACTGCACTCTTTTAAAATACTACACAACAGGTATGTATACATGTATGTATGAATATATGGGTATAGAAACATGAGACTTAGCTCAAGACCCTCACCTTCAATAGCTTCTCTCAGCCAATCAACTCTTCCCCTTAAACACACAGTATTTCTTGTAAGCAATTAATTGAAACTATTAATATGACTTTTAAACTAACTCAGTTCCTAAGTTTTTCATGTAATTTCTAGAGGCCCGATGCATGAAATTCATGCAAGGGGCTCTGTAATTCTGGTTGCTTGGTCCTCGAAGTCCCAGCTTCGTCTGGAAGGTTGTTCTGCTAATTAGCATATTAGCTCTTTAATACATAGGATGCCTTAGCTTTCTTCCTAGATACAGTCTTTCTACTTCTTCTTTTCATCACAATGCTAATGATATTACCTGGATACATACATGTAGTAAGTATCTGACTGATCTAATAAAAATACAATAATCATTGGCAGAAAGTATGTCATATCCAATATCCAATATGGACTATCCTTAACCCCCTTTAAAAAAAAAAAAAAAAAAAAAAAAAAAAAAAAACTAAAAAAAAAGCTTTAAAAAAAAATCTCTTTGTAAATGAGATTTAAAGTTTATCTCACTAATAAGCATCTGTAAATTTGCACTTTTTATTACAGTCATCAGACCCAGTATCCACCCAGTATTTTATCTTCAGCCACTGCTTTCAGTTTTTGACCTGCTTCCTTCCTAATGTACTTTCTAGTTGCTTCTGGTATATTTAGCTGCTGTCAGGTACCTTTGTAACAACTTATAATAGTTAGTAGTTAGTAAAATGAATTAATTAAAGTCATAACAAATGTGTCACACATGCTTAATAAACACTTCTTGATGGTACTTGCTGTTCATCAATCACTAAAATAGGCTATTTGCATACAAATTACATGCTAATCTAATATAAACTTGGTTGGGAATAGGGTTTGAAAATAAATCTTACTCAACACTATATATACTAATACAAGTCTATTTTTGAATACTGACAGATTGGTGGTTTTCTGCTTTGATACCTAAAAAAATTGCAAAATATCATATTAACTTTTTAAACCAGGAGTGCTAAGTATAGTATCGCCCACAAAGCTCCGTATCTGGTTTTCTCAATGTTGAAATAACTAATAGAAATGAGTGTCACAAATTCTAAGTCAATAAGCAAAAGATATGAAAATGGTTCACCTTTTGAGCCATATCTTTTACCACTACTAAAATAATCTCAAAGATTTCAATTGTTGTTGTTTTTTTAAACTGAAAACATGGGGAGGAGGTATTAAGAAGCATGCCTGCTAATTAGATACTATGGTAAAACATGACCGTGTTTTGTTGAGTCCTACAGCATGAAACAGAGCCATAGTAACCACAAAAAGAAAGCAGTCCTCAATGCCCCATTCAATAAAAAAGGTTCAAATTCCACAGACAAAAAAAAAATGGTACCCTGGGTTGTTTGTTTTTAAGGAAGATTAAATTTAGGAGTTGCCAACACCCAAATGAAAAACATTCCAGAGTATTAGACTCAATTGTAATGGGGAGTCATCTACATTCTCAGCACTATGTTCCTTACCCGAAGCAGAAGTACTAACAAAGGATGTTTCTTAGGATCTCACAAGATACACCATACTTATTTCCCTCAGTAAACATTACCCTTGTTAAAATAAAACAAAAATGTATCTTTTTAGCACAAGCAGCCAGATAAATAACGAAATCTAACATCTGACAATGTATTTCCCAAATAAGAACCCTGTCAGATGAATAATGAGGAAAAGACTGAAAATGACAAGTTCTTTTATTTGGACCTTCAGCTACTTTTAAAAATAAGTTGAGGAATGTAGTTTTTCCAAAGCCTTGTCTTCAGTTTCCCCTTAATCTTCATATTTATAACTAAACAAACCAAAAAAAAAAAAAAACACTAGAAATTTGATTACCACTTTTAGAATTCCTTCTTAAACAATTTAATGAATAACAGATCTTTTGTGCAAGTAGCAAACCACAGTGAACAGTTTTGCTGCCTGATAAAAATCTCCCTGAAACACTCAAAAAATATACCCTTCAAAGACAAACTGGTTTTCCAGGGGCGGAAATCATATTCAGACTTAAAAATATGGGTATGTTTGATATAAGCTCTAACTTAATGCCAATGCTTTTACTTGAACCACAATTAAAGTTAAGTAACCCTTACTATCTTCTTGGTGTCAAAGTTGAATGAACTGAAGACCAGGAGTTTAAAAAAAAAAAAAAAAAAGTAAAACCTAAAGAGCCAATGAGAAAAAAGATGCAACTGACTACTTTGGATGAAGCAAGGTGGCTGATTCACTTCCCAAAACCTGTGAGCTACTATAGAATCAACATTTGTATAGAATTGCTTTGTTTTGTTTTGTTGTGGGTAAAGCGGTGCAGCTATTCACTAAGTAAAAATGTTTCCCCAGTCACTCTAATGGAAAGATGCTACAGCCTGCAGAAATGTTTTGAGATTGCTAAAAAAAAAAACACACACACACACAAAAAAACAACCTTACCACAAATGTTTTCCAGAACACAGAGCCAAATACTTAAGTCGAGGAGAGAGCGTCTCAGAAAAAATAAATAAATAAATAAATAAATAAATAAATAAATAAAAATGAGTTGCTACAGCGTTCCTATTGTCCTAAATATTACTCAGGACAAAAAAAAGTGTGCGTGCGTGTGAGTGTGTGTGTGTGCGTGCGTGTGCGTTGGAAAGCGCATATATTCACTTGGTCACACTCATCTTGGAAGACAAAGTGGAAGACAAAGCTGTCTGGGATACACTCAGGCTAAGGCTTCTTTCCCTTTGCAGGTGCTACTGAACACTGCTAAGAGAGGAGATAAACAATCTGATCATTTGAGCCGGACGACACGTGAGAAACTCAATAGAATCTGTCGTCATCACCATTAATCAATTTTTTTCTAACTGACCAAGCATGAAAAACAAAAACACAAGTCTGAGCGAGCGAGCTCCGGCGCCAGGAGCTGTGCTGCCAGCGCCGTCAGAGCGGAGCCCGGGCCGCAGAGCTCCGCCGGCGGAGCACGTGCGCGGCGGGGTTCGGGGAACTTCCCGGGAAGCGCTGGTTCGGATAAAACTCCATCACCTCTGCCCGCCTCCCTGCCTGCCTGCCCGGGAGGACGAGCGGCGGGAGCGACAGCAGAAGCTCCGGGCGCGGGACCCAGAGCCCCGGAGGCCGATGGGGGAGGCGGCAGCCCCCGCCCGGCCCGGCCGCGCCCCCGCCCCGCCCCGCTCACCTCGGCCGCGGGGATGTTGACCACGCCGGTGGAGCGCCGCTTCTCCCGCAGCTTCCTCTTCTCGATCTGCCCTTTGCCTTTGCGGGCACTGGGGCCCGAGCTCTTGCCCTTCTCGGGGGCGCCGTCCCGCTCCTCCTCTTCGCCCCGGGCCGGCGGGGCCCCCGCGGCGGCGGCGGCGGCGGCGGCGGCGGGGGGCTCCTCCTCCGGCCGCCGCGGGCCCGGGCCGGCCGCGCAGTTCACGCCCCCCGCGGCGGCAGGTGCGGCCGCGCCGCCCGCGAGGTTGTTGTTGAGCTCGGGGCCCGCGCTGGCCGCCGCCGGGGGCTTCCCCGCCGCGTCGCTGCCGCCCCCGCCCGGGGCGGCGGGGCCCGGGGGGTTCTGCTTGGCGCGCAGCTTCTCCCGCTTCGCCTTCCACTCCTCCAGGAAGTCCGTGGTGCTGCTGCCGCCGCCGCCCGCCCGGTAGCCACCGGTCGCCATGTTCGCCGCGGGCCGGCCGGGCGCTCACCTCCGGCCGCCCCCCGGCCCCGGCCGCCGCCGCCGCCTCCTCCGCGCGGCCCCGCACAGACGAGCGGACACCGCCGGGCGCGGGCTGCTCGGTCCGCAGCCGCCGGGTCTGCGGGGAAACACAGGCGGGAGGGAGCGTGAGGTGCCCGCGCCGCCGGAGGGAGCGCCCCGCGCAGCGCCCACCGCAGCCCTCGCCGGAGCGCCCACCAGTCCCGCCGGCGAGCGGCCGCCGAGTCCCCAACCTGCGCGGCTCCCCGTCACACCTACACGGCGGCCGCGAGCCCGCCCCGAGGGGCGGGGACAGGCCCGGCCCCGCCCCGCCCCGCCCGCCCGCCCGCCCCGTCCGCCCCGTCCACGCCGGGCCGCGCCGCGGCGGCCGGGCCCCGCGCAGACCCCGCCACCTGTCGGCCCGGCGCGTCTCCCGCGCTCCCGGTCGGGTCCCCGCCACCGGCGCCCCCATCCCTGGCCCGGCGCGGAGCGGGGACGCCGGACGTCGGATGTCCGTCCAGCGGGTCAGGACGGGCCGGGGCGCGGGCAGCCCGTACCTGGGACCGGTTTGGGGGTGCGGCGCGGGGCGGGGGCCGGGCTCCCAGGTGAGCCGGGCGGCCGCGCCAAACGTACCGAGCGGCCGTCCGGAGCCCCGGGCTCTGCCGGGCTGGGAGGGAGGGACGCAGGGAGGGAGTAAGGGAACGAGGGAAGGAGCGAGGGGCGGGCTGGGAGCCGAGCGCCGCCGAAGGAGCTGGCGGAAAGGGCCGAGGGGCGGAGGGCGCGGCCGCGGGGGTGGGTCCGCCCCGCCCCGGCGCTCAGGTGCGCGGCGCCCGCCGGCGCCCGGACCGCACATTCCTGGCTCCGGCCCCGGGCGGCCGGCCTCGCGGCGCCGGGGGTCCAGGGGCGGGAAGGGCTGTCCGCGCCCCGCGCCCTGCTCCGCTTCCCCGCCTCTCCGCCTCCTACCATTTTTCCTTTTAAGTACAAGACGGATTCTTGGAGAGAAAGGCTGGGGGGAGAGTCCGTCCGCTTGGGATGGATGATTCAGGGCCTGAGTAGCCGGGAGGGGAAGAGCGCTCGTGTCCCGCTCCTCCTCGCCGCCCCTTTTCAGAGGTCCTAGGGTGGCAGGGGCAGCACAGAAAGAAGTGAAGCAAGCCCAGCACCGCCCCTTGTAAGAAAAGTGTCACCTAAAAGGTTACCTAAAAGCAGGGACTTAAGTGGACAGTGCGGTATCAAGAGTTTACTGTGATCTTAGGCTTCCATGAGAAACATTTCGACTGTGTGTTGCACAGGCTGTCTCAATCCTATTTCGAGTTTTCTTCTTCACCCTGCCTGGACACCTCCTCTTTGCAAATAGTGAACTTAGTGCAAAAGCACTGAAGCTGCACTGACACTAATTGGATATGAGCGGTGATTGCTTCTATTTTTTCTATTAATCGCACTATTTTTCTATCCTTAAGGTAAATCTTATCCTCGGGTGCATGTCATCTAAGCTTTCTGCACCGGGCTGGGCAGGCTGACAAGCACCTGAGAAGACGGGGCTCACTTTATCCAAGTAACAATGTCAGGGCACATCGCCGGGCAGGCGTAGGGGAGGGTGCAAATGCCAGGCCACATGGTTTTGTGAGAAGTAGGTGAGCCTTGAGTCACACTCTTACCTAACATCAATCTTTCTTCCTACTTAGTATTCCTATTCTGCCCAGGTGACAGACACATGGTGGGTGGGCAGTTAGTGTGCGCCCTGTGACAGGAACGAGAACAGAAGAAAGTGATTCACTTGCTATTTATTCCTCAGAGAGAAGCTCACACAGTTCTGGTCTCTGGTTTGGCTGTTGGGGTGAACATATGGGTAACCAAGAGGGAGCTCTGGGGAAAAAAATTTTTCTTAGAAAATTAAAGGCCTTCCTTGGGAATGGGTTTAAAAGGCTGAGCTTAGCTGGTACCAACCTGGGTGCACCCCTGAAATTCCTCACTACAGGCTTAATTAGTTTGTTTTCTGAGTTTTGGGAGGGGAGAGGAGGGATTGGGCATTAAACAGATTCACACTCATATGCTTAGAGGGGCTGCAGGATGCAGTGGAGAGAGGATAGAGGCAGCCTGGATGCACACATAAATAGCTGAGAGGTCTCAGGCATGTTATTTAAATTATCTGAAACTCATCTTTCTTTACGATAAAAATCAACAATAGCAGTCCACGTTTTTTAAACTGTTATAAGAATTGACACAATTTTTTAAGTATTTTTGGTTCAAGGAAGGCACTCAGTAAATATAGTCCCTTTTATTAATAAGATATCAAGCAGGGTCCTGGGTCTCTAAGATGTTAGGGATTGAGGGGAGTTAGGCAAAAAGAAAAAGAAAAAAGATAGGATACTAAATACAAAATATGAACCTGAAAACAACAGGCTGAATAAACTCAGATAATTCTTAAGCCACATAAATTTGTCACTGCATCGCTTAGACCAGTTCTCATATTAATAGGCTCTGCGTCAGGAAGGTTGGCTATTACTGACTTGTGTGGCTTTGAGTAAGTTGCTTAACTTTTGTGCCTCTGTTTACTTACCTATAAAATGGGGATAATAATACTTCCTACATTGTGCGAGTCTTGTGAAAGTGCCTGAGATCCTTAGATAAAAGGTAATCTGTGAGTACCAAAGTAGTTATTACTAGTCTATAAAGAGCCCTAAGAACCAAGGATGAAAGAGATTATTGAAGTACAAAGCACTATATATTACGATTGTATTATACCTTTGTCTTTACCTTACCATTCTCAATATTTCCAAACATATATTTCACAGCCAAACTGCTTCTAACATTGCACCAAAATATTTAGCTGAGTCAGTCCTAAATTGCAAAATGTTTGCATATCATCAATCTTTATGTATAGCATTCAGATGAAATCATCTTAGAGACTCTGAGCTTGGTTTCTCAACCACATCACTGTTGACATTTGGGACTAGATAATTCTTTGTTTGGGGAATTGTCCTATCCATTGTAGGATGTTTAGCAACATCCTTGGCTTCTACCTTTCAGATGCCAGTATTGCGCCCGCCACCGCTCCCCTCCCCGCCCAGGTGTGACTTTGCCAATTTTTCTGGGGAAGAAGAGATAGGCAAAATCTTCCCCAGTTAAGAAGCTCTGAGCTAGTCTAAAATAGCTAATTTTGATGACTCACTTGCCCTCAATAATAAAGGAAAATTGATAATGATAACAAAACAAAGAGATTCAATCTATTTTAATGTTTTGTTATTTGTTTTAAGAAAGAGGGAGGGGAAGGAAGAGAGAGAAGAAAAAAACATTGATCTGTTGCCCCTCTTAGATACTCAATTGGGGATCAAGCATGTAACCTGGGTATGTGCCCTGTCTGGAATCAAACCAGCGACCTTTCTGTATATACTCAGACAACTGAGCCATACCAGCCAGGAATAAATCCATCTTGATATGTCATGATGAAATGTATTCTAAATGTTAAAACTTTCGTAATGTTTTCCAAGCAGTGGATTAGCTATGATATGAAATAGCCTCTTTGTATGTGTTGAAATAATTAATAGGGTATTGTGAAATAGCCATGTTGCCTTCAATGCAAATGTTTCTGGAGTCTATGTAATTCACCCTCTAAAATAAAAATAGTGCATGCACACAATTTTAAAGGTTAAATATTTTAGTTCTGTAAGGATTATAGCAAAAGCCACAACCTTTCCACTCCCAAAACCCTAAACTTTGAACTCTTTTAACTGTTTCTGCTAAAAAAAAAAAAAAAAAAAATCCTTTATTTTTTAAATGTCCTTATCTGCTATTATTTCTTGAACCTAACTTTTGCTTATGTTGATTTATGAAATCCTTCTGCTTTCACCCCCATCCAACCTTTGCTCTCTTTCAGAGGTGTCTGCTGCGGCTTTATTTTTTGGGTTCTTCAGGGTAAAAGGTATTACTTCTAATTTTCTTTGTCTGCTGCAGGTGGTTAGGATTCACTTTGCTCTGCTAAAGTTTATCTGTTTTCTGTCTTTCATCTTCCAGAATTTTCTTCTCATTGCCCATCCTCTTTGTTATTATTGGTTTATCACTTTACTTTTGTTTTAGTGATGTTATTTGAGGGAGTAGAGATAAAATGTGTTTAGTCTGTTAATGTTTAACAGGAAATCCAATCCATTGATTTGGCAGGTTTCTAAATACTTCTAACTTTAATCCATAATGAAGTTAGATCAGTAGAGACCACTATTTCTGATTTTCCTCATCGAGTGAAATCATAAGTTTCTATGGATTGACACTCTTAGAAAGAGCTCTCTGAAATATGTTGTATTTTCTGTAGGCTATTTTGAAAATGAGGCCCATAATATTATAGAATACTCCTATTATTAAAAACTTAGGGGAAAATCTCTGACATTAATAGTAAAAATAGTTATATTTCTCTTCTGACACTTTTCTTTTTTTTAACCACAGTAAAACTATGAGTGAGTTTTCCCTTTTTCATTTGACTGCTAGTAATCTTTGGCCAGATTTATGGCCTATCAAGGAAAGTTCTAGGTTTTGTGGTGCCTAACACTTATACAATCTTCTTTAAGAAAAAGAATGGTAAGAAAATAAAAATTTAAAAAACATTTTTAAATTATAGATTTCAACAAGTGAAAAATGTTATAAGTATTATAAAAATTTGGAAAAACAACCAACTTATTCATAATTTACTCTGACATATTTCTATAATATCTTTTACCTACATTATTATTATTGAGTTTATTATTATTTGTTATTTACAAAATATGTGACTTCCTATTCAGCTTTATCCTCCATTTGTAGAACAAATGTATAGATTTATGCACACAAACACAGAAACTCTGATAAATTCTATTTGGCACTATTTCCATCAAAAAAGAAAATGTACTGGCCATTTCTAATTTTATACCTTGTATGATTAAATATATTCTCAATTGGAAATAACTTCTGTTTTGACTAGGTGTCAATAAAAACAGAATCCTCTGCTTATTTTACGCATCTGATGTTGAAAGGATTTCTTAGAGACTAGCTTTAATGCCCTCAGACTTGCCACCCCCTACAAGGAGCAACCTCCTTGTTGCTGTCATCAACCAACTTCCCAGTCACTTTGTCTTACTGAGGATCTTAGCTTTGGCCTACTGCCTTCTATTT